CAAATGCTGTGTTAAAAAGGATCAGCAAAAGATACCCAGCAAATGAATGAATGATGCGGGAGACAAATTGAATCTTGAACTTCCTGTGCTTGGACTGAAGGGAGCTCCCTCTGCTGTTATCTTATCCATTTATAATTACTCTTTTTTATTCCCTTAGATCTTCTTTTGTCTAGTTCACATCACAATTTCATGAACTGCCATGGTACTTTGCTCAAGGTTTTTCATAAACTTTTTTCATGACTGCCAATGCTATATATATATGTGTGTGTGTGTGTGTGTGTGTGTGTATAGATAAACCAATTGAAATTATTTTAATGCTGAGGTAGTGTTGGAGTAATGATCATTATCGTTAACTTATTCCTTTATTCTTCGTGGACGTTTATCTAGATAATTTAACTTCTTAATGGCGGTGCGTTATCATTGTTTGGCCGCTTCAAAAGGAAGCTTTGTTTTGCTCTTTATGAATTACGCAGCAGTTTGAGCTGACTAGGTCTGTTTGTACTCTTAAAAAGAAACTGTTATTTTCCCTAAAATAATTTGATTCACTGTTGGTTCCTAAAGTTGTAATGGTTAAGCCTAATTGCTAATTAATTTTTTGTTGGTTTTACATCTTGAATGAGCAGCTTGAAAACCCTTAAGACCAGAAGTATTAGGGTTTATGGTGGAGCCGCAGTTGCAGTTTCTCGTTAAAAGTACATAAAAAGGCAACCGCATGGGAGGAGAAACTCGCCAAGCTCACGCTCTACGACAAAACCTTCTTGGGTCTTGCTCACTTACTGCAACAAGTTCCTAGACATGTCTCCCCCACCTTGTGCAATTACCCAAATATCCTTTCAGTCGGTTTTTAAGTCTTGGACCAAGATTAATTTGCAGAAATATGATACTCTATCTTTGTTCAATGCTGTCATCGATCGTTTTATTTACTTCCCTATGTATTCCTTATGGATCCAAGGGAGGACTGTGTTACTTGTTTTCTCCGTTTGTCGAATAAAATGTGAATATGTGGTGAGATTAGTGGGTGTGATTGTTTGGATTCCAAAGAAAAATGCCGGACTCTTTCTCGGTGGTTTTTTTGGTGGAGCTGTGCGATCTGTTTCCATTCTAATTTGTTCACGGATTTAGTAAAATCCCCATTCTAATTTCTACCCTAATACATTGATAAGAAAAAATTTTGTGCTTGTAATATAGAAAGGCCTCTGAGAAAGTAATTATAAATAAGCAAACATCTGCTCAACTTTTGCTGGTGTCTGTATGGGAAGTTGATATAGGCAGTTTTCATATTGCCCTTGCACAGAATTGAGCAATTTTTCATCATGTCAAGTGTTAAACTATTCATGGTTACGAAAAATATTCATGAACCGGGGAAATTTTTTAGGAACATTTGGCTTTTAGCAAATGTATTCTACAGAAGAAAGGTTGTAGAAGAGTAGCAGAATAAAGGCAGATGTAGAACATTATAAAGTAAATCAACCAATAGGGTGTAAAACAAGCTTTTGTATGATGAAGGCCTATTTGGGCTTCATTTAGATTCTTGATGCATGGATTAAACGGACAATGGATTGCTCAAATTGTAATCACTGCTTGATGGTATGCACGGTATAGTGTGCAAGTGTTTGTAAATGAGATGAAGGTGAAGAGAGAACGATAGCATTGAATTTGGTATACCATGTTTTAATGGCCAAAAAGAAATAAAAAAAAAAATTGATATACTATCTAAAGCTTTAGACAGGCATATGATATTCTTCAATATAATAAAAGCTTTTGGAAGAGGAAAGAAATGGCAACCAGCTAGGTCATTCCCGAAAATAATACGTCAAAGCAAATATCTCCTTTTAAGCTGATTTTCCATGAAACCCTATTTTAACACGAAAAAGAAACAGACAATGGCATATGTATATATATATGGGTGAAGTGGGGTTTACTTCTTTGTTATTGGGTTCTTTTCTCTAGTGCTTCCCTCCCAAGGACCAGTGAATGCCAAGTGCCTATTTATGGCTCTTTCCTTTCCCCCAAACGAATCTCTGAGGAGAAGAGAAAAACAATTCCCCCCTTCCCCTACCACACATGTCTGGTGCTTTGGTGCATCTTTATCTTAGGTCCATCATTTATATTAATCTTCTCTTTCTTTTTTTTTACCTCTCTAAGCTTACCCAACCCTATGCTAAATATGCATACGAGCTTTTTCTCCGAGACGCTGTCCGCTTTTGAAGAATCCAAAAGCTGTTTCTCATGCCATGATTGATCATTGCACCATCTTTAACACAAGTGCCATAGTTTTTTTGTCATTTTGTTTCATAACTTTAATCTGATGAAATGGAAATTTTCCATGTGCCAGTCCCCTAGTGGTCCCTTGAGATTGAATCTATTTTTTTATTTTTCGGATGCTGATCAAAATTGGGATTTTGATGATAAGGAATTGTTTCGTATTTTATTTAGTAAGATCTAAGCATTGTAAAGTTTGATGTTTCCTTTTATTCTCTGGGGCCTGGATGTTCCAACCCATCTGGAAAAAAGGTTCAGTGTTGATGAACTGGGTTGGCTTCAAAATCAAATCCCTTGTCCAACACCATCTTTTTTAGGGATATGTTAAAAATTTTTTACTCTTTTCTATTGGGGAAGTAGATTGATATGAACTTTGGGTAGCCTGATCAGGAACTACACAGAAAATAAGCCAAAGAAATGGAAGTGAATCTTTGTGCTGGCAGGCAGGCATGATGTGACAATCTCAAGATTTACCTTTGGATTACTATAGGAATTAGCAGATGAAAAGGATAACATTATAAGAGATCAAAACCCTTTTTTCTAGTTGTTAGGCATATGAAATTAGAAAGATTATCATTATTCTTTTTTTTTTTCTTCCTGCTGTCTTTTCATTATGAGTAACCAACATGATTTGAGCGTGATTAATGCCTTCAAGCTGGATGTCCCTTTATCAGAATAACTGCAGTATATCCTCAAATTCTCAGTTTAGTTATGTCATGAACTGTATTTGCATATTAGAATAATCTGCATCAATTCATACCGGCCAACTAATTTTTCGTATATATACTTGGAACTAATTAATTTGTACTCGGTTCATGTACCAAATCAAAACTTTTGGACATGATTGTACTCTAGTATGTTTCTGAATAAACATGTTTTCTTTTTGAATGGTCTTCCAAGAGATATAAATTCAATCCAAGGTTGATGTTTATAGGTGTACTCAAAGCCTAAAAATTGAAATAATCTTAGGCTATAAAATGCATTTGTTTTGTTTTTATAGGAAAATGACATTCAACATAAGTGGTTGTGAGAACTCTCTTATAATGATAACATTAGCATATATTATATATGGGGTTTATATTTGATTGTACATATAAACTTTAGAAAGTGTTGGATGTTTTTTTTTTTTTTCAATTTTGGTAACTTTAGGGTCAACAAGATTATAAATGATATCAAGTTGCCCTAAATCATGCATATTTTTTTTGTAGAAAAATATAAGATATCCAATACTTGCCCTAGATCATTCATCTTTTCTGATCCACCTTCGATATTTCCAAGTATCATTGGATTACTTAACGTGCAAAAGTTTAATTAAATACAATTTTCTTTCTTTTAACTTTATAAATAATTAAAAATTGGAACGATATCTTACTTCTCTAACTATACACTTACGATGGGAAACCATAATCTCTCCTTCTTTTTTGGTGCACATGATCTCTCTTTTTGACCATCTTTTTTTTAAAACTGAGGTACTTTTGGCCATGGTTAGAGCTTTGAAGAGAAGAAATGAATTTAAATTTTAAACGTTAATGTTAGAAGTATAACTGAATTATATTTGATGCAATTACAATATTGTACTGACTAGATCAACCTCTCAAAAGAAAAACCCGAAAAGCCAATGGCTTCTTCTGTATATTTTCAAATACATATCAGATACTAGTATTATTGACCCAAACATCAAATATCTAGATGCTAGATGACTCGTTTCTTGACATGGGTGTTTTACCAATTCCTTTTTCTCTTTTAAAAGGGGGGAACGGCATTCCCAAGAGGACATTCCCAACAGGCATTAACCTCGGTGCACATAAGGCATTCAAACAGGAATTGATGGAGAAAAGAGTTAAAAAGGGGACTGAGATTCAATTTGAACCATTTTAATTTAATGTACTACGTGTACGTCATAACTGGTGCGGTGGTCCAGACCAGACACTTGATATTTGCAAAATAGAACTTCCCTGCAGAATAATATGCCCTGCCTGCGGAGCCAAGTCCCCATGGCCCACACCCACTTCATTTCTCAGTTCATAGCACGCAATTCTTTTATGATGTGCATGCACTCCTTCCATTCAATCAAAACCATACAATTGCCGGATTAAATGTTGAAATATCATTCAAATCCAACTAGCATCTGCCCACCAATTAGGCCAGCCCAAAAAGAGAATTCCAATAATGTCATTTTCAAGGTTTATGTCCTTAGAAAGTGTAACCAACATTGGAGCATAACCATATTCTGCTTAGGAAAGAGGATAAGATACACCTTTGTTGTAATGACTTCGGCCACAGGGTTTGGAACACAAGCATGGAAGGGAAAACGCTGGACATGATTGAAGTTAGGCCCTGTGAAGATGACTACCAGCTGGATTTTCTCATAGGTCAAAAGATTCTGTAATCTAATAAGAAGCGGCTTGGTTGGAGACCTCATTCTTCAAAACCAGCTCCTTCCCTTTGCTCGAACACCACAGGCACAACCATTGATCAAAGCACTCTCAGAAACTAACCAGAAGAAGTTCCCAAGATATTGGGCTGAACTTTTGGGGACTGCAGAAGGAAGCGGCATGCCTGTTCTTAATGTAGTGCTCACAAACTGTTAATTTCATCATTTATCTCCATCGAATCAATTACATTCTAGTTCTTATGTGCACATAATACTTATCAACTTCAGGACCATACCATATCCATAGTTGTGAGCCAAGTATGACATTCAGCACAATAGGGCTGATCATACTCCTATACTGCTACATCTATATGTGGCTGCTGAGCTGAATCTCGAAATTGTTTTTTGCCAGTTGGCTTTCAAGGAATAGCAGTGCAAAAGCTTCAATATGACACATGCAGATGCATTATCACATATTGTTATTATTCAGCAAAGAATTCCCAATCAATTATATAACTTAATTCCATTACATTGAAACAGAAACCAGTGTTTGGCAATAAAGGTTCACGATGGAAACTCAATAAGCAGGTAAAAAAGAGCAGCTGTTCTACCACAAGGATCAAAAACTGATCAATAAGCAGACACAAAGTACCCAATCTACATGACAAGTACAAATTGATGGATGGAAATGTAAAGCTGCTTCTCTTCAACAGTAAATAACTTACTCCTATAGGCATTATTTTCAGGTCCAACTCTTTACACACTCTGTACGGCTGTGATTGATTTGGATGAAACACTTGCAATAATTGAAGGAAATCCAAAGGAGGGAAAAGTTCCTCATGTCTTCTCTTGCTTCAAAAGACTTAAACCAATTTGGTCAATTGCGCTGAGGGACTCCTCTCTTGAGCATGTTAAGCTGGTTCATAGAGACCAATCATGTGGCCATCAACGCATCTCATGGCAGCAACCTGATAACAGCGAACAAGATTGGATGGCACCATCAGTTCACCATCAAGCTAAGCATAGGAATAACTAAGTGAGGGATGAAAAAGTGGAGGCAATACCTTGCCGTGGATTTCATATTTAATGGGACCATCCAGTTCAGCTCCTAATGCCATTAATTTTGTTACTGTACAGTTAATGTCATTCACAGTGAATGATAAAAGTGAAGAGTACCCATTCTGCATCACATTATCACTGTAAAAAAAACTGGGTTAGAATGATCTAATTTCAACTCATTTTTTTTCATGGAAAATTGAATATTCACAGAGCTAAGCAAATTAACAACTCACAATTTTATTTATTTTTGTTATTCGTCACTAATTTTTTTTTTTTTTGGTTAATTTCTCGCTAAACTTCGCAATCGTCAAGAAATTTATTGAAACTTCCATATTAAGAAAAAGAAATATAAAAATAGTACCAGGGGGATTGCATGAGGGCCAGCTTGAGAGGACCAGACTCGAGCTCGGCCCACCGAAGAGTGCAGACGTTCACGGAGAAGTCGAGCCCTTGTGAGTAGAACTTTGCGGCCTTGGGAACGTCCCTGTGGAATTGGAGTAACCACCTAAACGTTGCCGCCGCCATCTCCTTCCTTCGTTTTCACTTCCTCATTCTCCGTACTTCTGCGCGATTGCCTGCGAGAAAGTGCCCGCAATTTGGTTTGTCTTTTGTGAACGATGTCGTTTTTGGAACCCAGCCCACAAGATTGATTTGGTTTTCAAGACTCAGGCCGAGACCCCACAGAACATAAATCCAACGGTAACTAAAGAGTAAAGCCCAAACCAAAAGTTCCCAACCAAATATGACTATTTTTTTTAATAAAAAAATATTTTCTGTCTATCCAAACAAACAGGGGAATTTCATTTTCCTTTTAAATTTTCTTCCATATTTTCATTTCCCTCTTATTTTCCATGATTTAAACAGAGCCTTAGGATCTGTTTAATAACACCTTTAAAATTTTCAATGCAGAAGGGACAACATAGCTGGAATGATTACTTGGAACAAAAATGGAGTGATACAAAGGCTTTGTTACTCAAAATTGTAATGGACCCAAAATTCATCAGATTCGTAACTATGTGGTGATATTACTCTAATATATAGACATAAAAAAGAATGCTAGAATTATAGATGAAGATTATGGCACAGCAACATTTAGAATAATGTGCATGGATGGCCAATATTCACATAACATATTGCCTGACTGCAAGCAACGCAGAAGCTGCCAATCCTGTGGGTTTTTCAGCTGGTTGCTAAAAAGCCTATAAGCTATGACTTGCTCTTTAATATTTTTAATCGAGAACGTGGCCCTTTCGACCTTGCTTCAAGAAGCTTGGCCTTCAAAGTGTTGTCCTTCGTTGCCGGAGGCTGCTTCGTAGAAGACTCCGATACATCTAGGGCAGGGGATGTGAATTTCGTCATCCATCGTCGCACTGGACTAGGCTGGTTCCTCCTTGGAGGGAAACTACAAGAAGCCTCACCACAGTCGTTTTCAGGATTTATATTCCCACGTTCTGACAATGCTACATGATTTCTTATCAAGTTATCCAGTACATAATTTGAGCTCAGTCCTTGTACCTCATCAAGCTTATTCTTTCTTCCCTCGCTGCCCTGGAGGGTAGCTTCATCATTTTCAAGCTCTTGTGAAACTGTTATTTCAGTGGTGCACCCTACACCAGTATTTTCCCGTTCTGAATCTCCCAAGTGGGACTTTTTATTTCCGTTACACATGGCTCTGGCCATCTTTTCTTCAAACTTAACTTGTAAGCTGGATGGATGCCGACTTTTACTCTTGTCATGAGATGATGGTTTTTTCTCCATTTGATTTGATTTCATTATTTCCCCGACATCACCTTTTGGATCTTCATCTTCATGTGATTTCATGTCAACACTGCTTGGTTTATTCAGTTCAAAACAATTCAAATCAGTGCCGGCAGAATCTTCCACATCACAAACATCTTTAGCGGCACTTACAGCCTCATTTAAAGGGGCAGATTCAAGTGATTTCCCTGGATCCCTTCGTGACAAATAATCAGAACGCTTAGAAACAGAAGTACCAATCTGTTTGGCGTGAAGGAAGGTCTCTATTTCAAAGCCTAATTTGTCTACTATTGAATTCTGTTCAGCAAAACCAGACTGAGCTTCTTCCAGCTTCATCTGCATCCGCTCATCAAGCCATGATTCAGATATATGAAGAATCAAACGATCATGGTCAGCCGCTCCTGCCCAATCTTCATCAGATTTCTGTCTCAGGGTATGCACCTCCTGTTCATAGCTTTTTATTCCCCTTGCAAACTCATCACAAAGATCTTCCAAAAGCTTCCTTGATTTCCTTTCCCTTTCAAGTTCTTTCAAGGCATCAGAAAGAGAAGCTTTTGCCTCAGACACTTCCCGAGCTAACTTCCTGTGTAGGCTCTCTGAACGTTTTCTTAACTTTCTCTCATCTTCTAGTTCATCTCTCACAGACTGTAGGGCAGCATGAACCCGGTCCTGTTCCTTACTCTTCCTAACTGACTTGTCTTCAGCAATCTGCTTCATTAAATCATCAATTTCGTGTCGATCTGCTTGCTGATCTCGAACCAACTCCTTGATCCTAACACGGGCATGATCTAGTTCCATCTTTAGTGCTTTTATCAATGAGATATTAGATGCATGTTGTTCTTCCAGGCTCCAAATACGGTTTAGTACTTTTAGCAGTTCTGTAGATGTTTTGAGATTATAATGCGACTCACCAATCCTTCCTCTAAAATCTAAGGAACTGCTTGGGGTGACTGCAGGATTGTAAGGTGCCACCTGAAAAAGAAGGGCATGTGAAAATTCTAGATAGATGGGATCTGAAAACTAAGTGGGAAAGACCTACTAAGCAAACCATACATAGCAGTGATTTCTAAGGAGGAATTCTTACACAGTTGATGTTAACAGAAATAACACCAAAAACATCAGTGCAGAAGTAGAAGATAGTCCAAAATTTTTCATTATGGTTTTCATCATAAATAACACCCTACTAAGTCAATTCTGCAATGCTGTTCTACGACAAGCATGCTATATATTTCTATGACTGGAATAAAATATAAGATATATGTAAACAAGTAATTAAGACACCGTGAACGCCCAACAATGCTATCTATCAACTTAGAAGTTAGAACCAAACTGAATAAGATAAGAGTTAAATTTGAGGCAGAGACCAAAGAGATAGTAGTCACACTATAGCCAATATGAACCTAACTTGATTGCATAGCTCAAGCTTGTCTTCATATGTAGGACTCATAACAACAAATTTTCCTTTACTCTAATTCAAGTAGCTTCAGTTGAAATATCAATTGCAGAAAGCAAGAAAATCATCTTCCCTATTCTGTATTCTCCTACAGATAGTATCTTTTACAGTAGGAATAGAAGACAATTTACCTCCATTGAACTGCCATAACTTGCAGGAGAAACGGGCTGTAGGGCATGATTATTTTTTTCAATCGATCGATGGTGTTTCAACAGTGTTTGAGCAATTTGCCTCCTCAAACTGCTTGCACTCTCTGGCTGATATAAGAAATAAACTAGAAAAATAAGTAACAGAAGGTATTTCTTCCACGTCAGATAACTCTATATCTTTGTTCTTAAAGAAGTTGCTGTAGACAATGTGTTGAAGCCACCAAAAAATGGATTAAATCAACTAATACTTTGATGGGTCTCTTTTCATAATAATTATCAATTAAATGACTCTCACTCATTGCAAAACCAACTTCTACCAAATCTACGCTAAACTTTAACCATCATAGAAAAATATAAGTTAAGGGTCACAGAAAAATCCTATTAAACAGTTGGGATTCAATAAATACTCAGCACCCTTCAGAAAATTCAAAACTTAAGGTAAATTACAATTAAATATTGAATTTTTAAAGCAGCCGGTGCCCTCGGGTTCCCCATAACAGAGTTATAAAAAACCACCCAACTACCAAATAACTGCTTCACCAAACACCACCAGATTTTATAGCATCAATCCTGAATTGAATGCTTTGGTTTTTATTTGTGTTAACATAATAATCCCTTAGCAGACAAAACAAACAATGTGTTAGTATAACCATACAACTCTTCATGTATTTCATGTTTGCTCATATAATTATACAACCCTTGACATGAAAAAACTCCATTAGGTTTTGAACTGGTTAAAAACGATTGGTAAAGCAATTTTTCCAATCAAACATGAATAAAGGACATTAAAAACAAAAACTCTAATCTAGCAAACAAGAAACACTCTATGAACCAACAAACATAGGAAAAAGTTAGGCAGATAATAATCAAACAAGCAAGATGGATAAACTGAAGAATAAAAATGTAGTCCAATCAACATTAACTGTAAACATCATCCATCTATCAACATACATGCATCTTAGCCCGAATAAAAAAAAAAGAAAAGAACAAACCCTGTAGCCAAGAACAAACACACCCAAAATTCCAAATCAATCCACATCCATCCCACCAACTAATAAACCAAAATACCCTTTAAAAGAAAATTAACATACAAGTACAAAAAATACACATACATTAATCGTACATAAACAGAAGTATGGAACAAAAAGGAAATACCTGGTCAGGATCAGAGCTGGGGCAAGGATCAGCCAAGAAATGAGAAAAGTCAATGCCTTTGGCCTTTAAAAGATTGTTGTGGTGGCGTTGGTGGTACCGGCCATTACTGTTGTTAACCCCTCTATGCATTTTAGGTTGTTGGTGACCAAGGTATTGATGAAACTCCCAGAGGGAAGCAGCTAACTTTCTTGCAGAAACAGCGGCAGCAGGAGGAAGAGGGATGTTGTTATGATGAAGGTGAGCCTGAGGGCGGTAAAGTTTCCAAGAAGGGATTGGCGTACAGGGACCCTCTCCTTTCCTATTCCCTACCAATAATACCCTCCTGCTCAACTTTTCACACAAATTTTCCTCCTTTTCTGCTACACTTTCTCCACTTTTTTCCTCCCTTTTCATTTCTCTCTCTTTCTTTCCCCCTCGCCTTCAAATGGTTTTATATAAAACCACTGTTTTCTTTTTTTTTCATCCATTCTTTTCATTTTTTTTCATGACGGCTAGTTTCTAGAGTGAAAATTTGATCTTTGTTGTGGGGATTTTTTTCCTTATTTATTTACTTTACTCCGTTCTTGGGTTCTCCTTTCTCTTAGAGAGTAGTACACTAGTACTGTGATTGATTTCCCATAGACAAAAAGGTTTATAGGGTGGGAATTGATTGGATTACCTGTCAAGCATTTAGTAATATTTTGAAAAATTTTCCACCCCTTTAATCACGGTTTTCTTTAAAAAAAAGTTAAAATATTAAAAAAGCCTTTGAATTTTATCATTTTATTTTTAAATAATTTTATATTTTTATTATATTAAAATGAAATTTTAATTTATACTAAAATCAATTCTTAATTTTTAATTTATAAACAAATTAACTTTTAAACTTTAATTTATATTTAGATAAATTCTTAACATAATACATAATGCATATAAAACATCAATTTTTTATTATCTCAAATATATGAAGTAAAACTTTTGATTATATAAACAATTAATTTTTAATGATTAAAGAAAATTAAAAAAATTATAAATTTAATTTTAAATAAAAATTAAAATATAAAATTTTTTTTGATGTAATAAAAGTATAAAAATTTATTTAAATAAAATAATAAAATTAAGAAATTAATATTTTAATAAAAATTTGTAATATTTTTTGAATAAAAACCTTAATTATACTATATTATTATTATGAACCTTAATGTTGAAGTGACTTTTATAAATCAAGAAAAATGCCAGCTTGTGACAAGATTTTGGCCATTGACTTATCTGCATTTTTTATAGTTGATTGATTTAACAATATTTTATATTTTTATTTACTGTAATAAAACAGTATTTTCACCAAAAAGTTAATTTTTTCCCTCCTGCTTTATATGAAAAAAATATCATTTTTTTATGTCGTTTGAGGATAATAAAATTTTTAAAATAAAAAAATGAGAGAGGTAAATAAATAAGTATTACTAATAAAATAAGAAATGTAAAAGTAAAAGGGTAAAAAAAAATTTGAAAAAATTTTAATAATTATTTAAAATTTTAACACTTTATTATGATTAATCAAATCTTTATTATTTTGGTTTAATTAAATTTTTAATTAGATAAAATCTAATCACATGATCAATGTAAATCAATTAATTTCAAAATTACACTTAATTAAATTCTTATGAAGGTTTTAGAAATATAGAAGGGGAGAAAAATTAAAAATTTTTATTTTGTTTAATTTTTATATATATTAATTATGTTACATGATAAATTTTTATTTGTTTTATTAGTATCATAAAAAATTTTATTTTAATTAACAAAAAAATTAATAATGTTAACATTTTCATTTAAACAAAAAATTTAATTAAATACAAATAAATATTAAAAATTAATTGATTATAATTATAATTAAATAATTTAAATAAATTTTATTCATTAAATTTCTATAATCTTTAATCAAATATAAAAGGGAAAAAAAAAAGGAACAAAGAGAAAGAGAAGATGCTAAAAGCCACTACAACCTGCCACGTACTTTGGTCGACAGGAATCAAAGTAACATAACCGTGACAAATGGCAACGGCTATTGGCCCACGTTTCCTTTTCGTGTCCGTGTCGGAGTTTCCTTCATCTGTTTCTGCTAAAAGTGTGACGTCGGATTCTGCTTGGATTGTATTGTAAATCCTCATGAAAAAAAAAAAAACCTAAAGATTTTTTATTTATTTTTCGTTAAAAATTAATCGAGAAAACACGTGCACTACTGGATTGCTGATGTTTGAGTCTGACAATGAAATCCTTTGGATCTCAACAGAGTAAAAGATATGAAGCCTAGTTGCAAAGGCAGAGAACAGATGTAGATCCTAACGCATGACCGCTTTTCACGTGTTGTCTGAAATTTCTAGCATCAAACCCTTACATAATTTTTTTTAATTCTTAATTTGCTTTAAATTTTTATTATTTAATTATTTCTTAATTAAAAAAATTACAAATATTAACTCTTTCAAATCTTATATTTAAAGTGTCAATTTTCAACTATTACACTTTTTTTTTTTTCTATTTTTGAGATCAGAAGCAAACTTATAATAGGATTCACTTACTACTTTATTTAAGTGCAACTGTAATGGATTTATTAGATTATGGGTTATGGGCTTTTATTTTAGCTCCATCAATTACCCACTTGAGAAATTTTTTTTTACTTAACCAAGGTTTATTATATTTTTTATTCTCAAATAAAGATGCTTTCAAACTTATTTGGCACTTCAAACCATGTAAAGTCCCATGCCATTTTTCACATGGCAATTGAATTTTATTTTATTTATTTTTTCCTTTGCTTTTTCTTCACTAATATTGTTATCATATCAAACCTACACCATCGATATAAGCTCCCAATAATACCCACTTTACAGTTCTTTCATTTTCGTATTCAAAAAAGGATTATTTAGGTCTAGGATATTGTTTTGGTCTCATCTATTGATTTAATGCCTGAAAAGGACTTGAAGAGGGGAAATTAAAAAAATACCTTTATTTGAGAATAAAAAAATTGATTAACCTTGATTGGAGAAAAACCTAGCCTGATTTACCTTATATCATTGCTTCAAAATTTATTATTGTTGTCATTTATCACACCCTACTTGTTTTATTGTCATTGATTATCACGAAATTGCCTAAGTCTTTTGCTTGATTCTATACATTAAGTATAAATAAAATAGGCTTGGCAAAAAATTTCTTATGAAATTAAAAAATGTTTATCATCATTTTGGTGACGAAGTTTTGAAAGATAACAAATGAATTATTGGAGAAAAAAATTAGAAAGATAAGCAGCTGCTTTAATTTGACGACAACCATGGTGAGGGACGAGTCAGGTTTTTTATAAAAAAAGGTATAAAAGTAAGGTAAATTGGTTAAAATTTAATAAAAATATTATATTAAATAAAATAATAATGTAATTTAAATAAAAAAGTATAATTTTTTTTTGGATATTTAAAGAACAATTAAAATCTAACTAATAATTTTTTGAAAAAATAAAGAATAAAAGTAATGTATTAAAAGGATGAATTTTAGAAACAAAAAGTTTAGTAAAAAAAATTTATAATGTACAATTAAATTTGTAATTTGATATGTACAATATATATAGGTAGTTTAATGTTCTTAATCGTATTTTTTGTCTATATAAAAAAATATTTTGACATAATAATTAATGTCATCATGCTTGTTTAATTAATTAAAAAGGAAATTTTATTTTAATGATATAAAAAATTCAATAAAATAATAATGATTACATCAAAAAAAAATTTATTTAAAAAAGAAAAAAATCAAACTATTTATTACAATTACAAGTAAAATGTTTAAAAATTTATGAAATTTATCATATCATTAAAATTGTTCTTAAAAAAGGGCAAAATTATTAATTTTCAGGGGTCCAAAATATAATTTTATCATTTTTTGGATGAAACCCTAAAATAATTTTGAGGAACCAAGGAAGTTAAGTCCCTGGCCACCCCTCCTCTAGATTCGTCTGATCACGATACTTATTGTTCATACGCTTTAAATTAAGGTAAACCTCGTGAATATGATTGGGAATCGTGAATAATTAATTAATAAGTCCATGCAGCCTAGTAAAAAAAAAAATTATATTTCAATTATATATATGATCCCGTCTCTTATACTCAACTCATGCAAATAATAATTAACAAAATAAAAAAAATAAAATTATGTATGATTGGTACTTTTACTTTTTATTTTTATAAATAACATAAATATTTATTAAAATATAACAGGTGTTAACATCTCACACAAGGTTATTTCGAAGATGTTGATTTTGATTGATTGGTACTGTTATTTTTATATTTTTGTAATTAATAAAAATATTTATTAAAATCTAAACGGTGTTGACACAGATGATCTCTTCTCCTGATGAGGTTATTTATAATTATTATTGTTTCAAAGTATGATTTAAGATAATATTCTAAAAATAATCACAATACTCTTATCAATACTTTAGAAGAAGTAAGCATCAATGGGAGTTATGGGCATAGCCTCCCCCAACCAAAGGAGTCTCTGTTTCAGTCTTATATTTATTACCGTTTTCATTTATTTTACTTATTTATTAATTAAAAAATAAGAATAAATTTAAAAATAGAGGTTACATTTTTTTAAAGATTCATTGATACGAAAAACTATCATTTTCAAATACCTAAGTTTATATAATTATTTTTAAAAATGATATTTTATAAATTTAAAATTTAAAATTTATTTATGTTTTTTAAACTAAAACCTCATTTATTTTATTAAAAAAAAACCATTAATCATACTCATATGTATAAACAACAATCATCTCTCTTTGAGTTGATCGAAGATTCTAAGTCAATATAAGTATCCCAATCAATTGTTTCATAATTTTTTTTTATGGAATCAAATAGCAAACTTTTAGGCGCCTTCGATTGTGATTGGTGTTGCATTCAAATTGCAATTCGAATATTCCTTTTTTGTTTGGAATCACAAAAATTAAAAATTAATTTAAATTTATAATATTTAATTTAATTTGAATTAATTTTTTACTCGATTCGAATCATATTCAAATATTAAATATATATATATTCAATTTAAATTGAATTTTAAATTGAAATATAAAAAATTAAAAAAATTAAAATAAATTTTATATATTTTTAATTTATATATATTTTATTTTTTATAAAATAAAAATAACAAATTTTATATCAAAATTTTATATGAAAATAATATAAACAAATTAAAAATTAATAAATTAAATCGAATCGATAAAATTTAATTTAATTCTATTTGAATCGAATTTTTAAATTTTTATAATTTTATATAATATAAAAAAATTAAATTTGAATCATTATCATTATTGCATCATGTGTTAAATTAATTATTTAATTAAAAAGGACAAATATGCACTGTTGCTTCAATCAAAACGCGACATCAATGCTTACTAAAAATCCAACAACTTATAGAACCAATGCTGGTCCATTCAGGTTTGTTGATAAAAAATTGATGCAATTTTTGACTTTTTTGTAATTGGACGTACTTTTTCATTAAGTTCTATAATAGAAAATGAGTCACATATTTAAACTTATTATTGATTTGATATGACTCCCATTTCTACATCAGTTTTTTTTTTTTTTTTAATTTATCAAACAATGACATCAAATGCTTACCTTTTTGTAAAGAGAT